TTAACCCCCTCTTCGCAGAAATCACACGGAGCACCTGGACGCCGTGAAAAAGCCTTGATAAAACCGCCACGGAACGAGTGGCCCCACCTGCCAAAAAGACCTGGGCGGCCCCCCATTCGCTTCTCTCCCCCGGTACTACCGTCTAACGCGACCCCCCCGGAAAAAGGTCCCAGGTGCCCGGTGCACGGGTCCCCCCACGCACCGGGGGGGGGTCGATCCGAGCCCGGTGGGTCGGTTCGATCTGTAAGGTCTCTTGGGGAGGCCCTGCACCCTCCCCCCATCCCCCCCTCTCCGGCTCATAGCTCTCGAAGCAGATCGGGCAGTCCGTGAGAGGATCCATGGCGACTCTCACGAATGACTCACTCTGATTTGGCTGCGCCCTGTTCTTCGAAAGGCGGGTTTTTACATTTTGGCGACTTTTTGTTGAAAGCGTTGGGGGAGTTGGTTCGGTGGCTGATTTTGAGGGCAGACTTGGATCTGCAACTCCAGATCGTCCAGCTTGCTTTCAAATTGCAGTGACAATGTGTCTAAGTACATGGCCAGCAGTACATGGGATATCTCCAACAAGCCAGCAGTCCATGATTGTGGCGATCCGAATAATTATTCTTTGACCCCAGGACACCTGTGAGTTCCACCCCTGAGTGAAAAGCCGCCCTACCTGGCTCACATCGCCTTGTTTTCAACTCCGGAGAGTTCAAGTCCGAACCAAACACCCGGACTCCTTCAAAGTCGTTGTGCTTTCCACTCTTCGATCCGATTCCAGGTGCCATGAAACCACGTCTGATCCGGTGCCCCGATCCGAGCGTCCTTTCGTGGGCCATGGATAAAGAAGAGCATGTCGGAGTCACGGAGCTTCGGGCGCCGAACGAACGGAGGAAGGGATAGGGGTGCTGGTGAACCACTCACTGGGTGGGACTCAAAAACCATTAAAAACCACTCAGCTCCACGTGACTCCTGGTGTTTTAGGCGTGGCGTCGTGCTCACGTCTGACATCATCTGGAGCTTCGAGACTCCACTCTCGATTGTGAGCGATGTGTAGATATGTATATATATGCTGCTAGCCCTCCCAAAAAAAAGAATAGTATCGATGTTGAAATATCGGTTTTGAGAGGGTGTATATACCATATATGTAATATACTGTATACATAAAATATGAAAGTTTTAGGGGAGAGGTCTGGGAGGAGCCCAAGGCTCAAAAGATTGCGTCGGACCGTGTGCAGAGCATGTTTAGTGTCTCAAAAGCTTCAGGCGAAGTTGGCCTAACACAGGAACTAGCTGTGGAACAACCAGGCGAAGTCGGGGTTGTTGTGACGCGTTTGCAAAGGAGCGTATAGTCTACAGTACGTATAGTGTAGACTCTTGATTAATCACCCCCCGTATGAAAAGGTTGTTCGATTCCAATTTGGGGGGGGTTGATCAAGAGTCTACATGTGTTCATGGACGTACTTCAGAGTCGTGGCAGGCGCGTCTGTCCCTCCCTCCCTCCCCGCCTGTCTGCGCCATGAGGCGTTCCGCCCAAGAGGAGGTCCGAGAACCGGAACCGACCGCCCTATGACCCCAGTTCTGCGATGGCCCCATGCGTCGTTCAGGGAGAAGTGACTCCAAAGAAATCGAACAGATCGGAAAGCCTTACAAAAGTGCAAGGCTGCCATGCGTTGCCCTGCAACCAAACTGGTACCCCTGGCGGCATCCAGGACGTCGGGAAGAAAACCATACAAGACTAAGCAGTCCCATAGCTCAAGAACTGGATGCCACAAGCATTGAGGAATTCTTTGTCACTCTGCTGGAGGCGCAGGCGGCGGCGGCGGGACAGGCGTGAAATGGTCGTTCCAGGCGCCAAGCTCATCTGCGGTCCTTTTTGCCCAAGTTTTAGGCCCTACTTGATGGCACCCTTTGGGTTCCATGAGGAGTTGGTTATTTTCAAGCAGTGCGATTACTGCCAGTACAGCTCAATGTTCTCAACTCTTCTCGCTTATCAAAGACCCAACTGCTCTTTCAGGTCCCTTCTGATTGACCCATAAGAAGACCCAGAAGAAGATTTGATTCTTTTCTTCCGAAAGCGGTTCCATGAACGGTTCTGTTCGAGGTCTGAAAGGAATCTCGCAACCCTCCAGGGTTTCCTCGCGCAGCAAGGTGGATCGGTTTCCTCGGTGTTTCACCCAATTGGATTCTCGGCGATGGCTCGTCGATTCTCGTTCAGACACGAGCGTCCTTCTCGAAAGAAAACGACTGGGGGGCAGCACCACCAGGTTTTCCTGAGGGCGCGGTCCGGCGCAGTGATAGGAGTCTCCATTGAAGATGGTACTCCAAACAAGCTTGGGGTCTAACAGTGACTTGGAGATACAGTAATCTGACCCTCTTTCCAATGTATGGACGGTCAGTGGCATTTCTACCCTGGGTTCTCCTAGAAAGGAATTCAAAGCGGACTTTGTGAAGTCCACCGAACAGAATCCGAACAAAGCTCCGAAGGAAAAGTAAGTGTACCCCCTGGTATGAAGGATCACTGGCTGGAAAAAATTCGACCGGAAACGACGGTACGGTTTTCATCAAACCACGGGGTTTCTTAAACGAAGCTCTGGTGGCTTGTCACTTCAACCCATTTCTGAGCTTCACATCACCCCGGCCACGTAGGGGTCCAAGAAGTGGACGAAGGACCACGAAGGGCGCCCCATATCTGCAATCCCAGCATCGTCCTCGTGCCTCAGAACGGTCTCAGAAGGTTTGGTTTGGGAATTTCAGAATGCCGTCTTCAAAGAAAACTCATCTTGGATGATCGTTTCCATAATTTCGTCCCCCATATCTAACAGTAGAGCCATGTTTGTCAATGCCTCTTCATATTTGATCGTCTTAGACCACAGTCAAACATTAGAGCGATGGTTGTTTTTCTCTACTTGAAACACCATGGTTCGAGCCCAAAACCACCAACCTGCAACCTGCAGCCCGGCATAGAATGACTTACCCTGGCGCACGGTGCCACTTCCACTCAAAGCAGGACCCAGTGCACCGATGGTTTTCTCAGATCTGCCACCCGCTTTCATGCTGCTCCGAGACATTCTGGTAAGGCTGCTACCACTGGTGTTTTTGTTCCTTCCCTTTCCGCGGACCTGGAAACATCTGGCTTCCACAAGGAGCGCCCGTCAATCAGTCCCGATTGGTGCCCCGGCCCCTCGCGATGGAGATGACGCCGCAGGCTGCGCGTGGCGGACGGAAGTGCAAAAAGGCATTGGAAATGGAGTGTGGTTCCCGGTGTTTTTGAGGCAACATTTCGTCCAAAAGAAACTCAAAGCGTGGAAGATTCATGTTCTCCTACTCTTGCTTGAGACAAACCCATATGGCCATGCGGATGCGGGTTTTTAAAACAACATATGTCTGTAGATCCTAGGCCCTTCAGGCTCCGCATCCCCAAGGCTGGGCTGGCCGCCGACTGTGGATGTGGTAAGAACCCAAACGTAGTTGCGCCAAAACCCAACGGTCCGGCATCCCTGAAATGACTTTCAGCTCATTCACATTCTGATGTCTTTCAAGCATCTTCTCCATCAAAAGCTTCCAGTACATCTCCAATCACATCCCGATGCCACACTTGCTGGTGTTCGACCCTTCATGAACTAGCAGAGAGACCAATACAAACCAAAACAAAACACCGGTGCCGCCCTTCGCCGGTCTCACGCATCCTCCACGCACCTCCGAGCGACACATCTCCAAGGAACAGCACGACCTCCACGCATGGTCCGCTTCCGTCGCCGGCGGCTTCCGTCGCTCGGCTCTCTCGACTTCGGGTTCCGCGTCCAGGTCCGGTCCGGTGACGGTCGGTCCAGCGGCCTCAGTGGCCCCTCCCAGCAACGGCTCCACCGAGCCCCCGCGGACGCCGCGGGAAGCGCGCCGAAGGCGGAAGTGGGAGAAGGCACGAAAGGGAGGAAGAATGAGAAAAAGAACCAGCTGAGTTCATGAGAAATAGGACCGTTTGAAATATTCAGTGGAAGCAGTGGAAGCAGTGGAAGCAACTAACTCCTGGTAAATGGAAAAAATAATGTGGAATCGTGAACTGTGCCCACTTCTGAGCCAACCCCAAAAACTTGGGCTTTGGAATTGCAAAGCACTGCATTCATTGGTGCAAAAAACATTTCTTGGAACTCTTGCGATTGCAACGAAACTTGGCAAAATCCAAATTTGTCCAACGAAGAAACTACGCACCTGTCTTAGCATCGAAAACTGTCGGGTTTGATGCGAAGGGAAATAGAAAACAGACCAACCTTGTCGCTGAGACATTAACTTATTCACTTTGGTACACTTAAGAACTTCAGTCACCATTCCACAACGTCCACAACTGTCAATTCCGTCCCCCACCCATTCTCTTAGGGTGAGGGGATCGTCAATTGAGATTGCCATTCTGAGGCCGTGACGCCCACATCAACAGGCAGAGTCCATCATCTGTCTGAATCAAAAAACATGATCATGTTCCACAGTCTTCAAAGTGGCAGAGATGAAGCCCTCTAGTAGGTTGGAGGCCATTGCTACTAGGGGGAGGCCATCTCTAGTAGTTGAGATCAGCAGACTACCAGCTCAGCCGGGAGACAGAATCGGAGGTCATGTTCAAGATCCTGTTCCGGTGTTTCTTCTCTGTGTCAAATGTCCTAGATACAGCTGCAACTCCACGAGCATTACCGTTGTGCTGAAGCTGAAACGCTGCATTTCGAGACAAAGACATGATCATCGGGATCAACAGCTTCAACCTGGACACCTCCATGCAGCAAAGCAACCGCAGCTAAACGTCGCACGCATCAGACACTAGATATATATATATATATACCTAGAACCCGTGTGACCTCAGGTTCTAGGTATATATATATATATACATTGTTTGCTTTTGAACTCGATCGAGGATACCTTGCTAGTGCTTGGCACGCACAGCTACTCGACATCGCGGCGCGTGCATGGGGACGACAAAGAAGCAAAGGACAAAAAAACGACATCCCTAAACGCCACTGTGCCAATTAAGACCTCCAGGTTTGGGCGTCATGGACGCCAGTGTTCCAAGTATGACTCAGTTACTGAAAATGAACATGTCCACCTCATGCAACAACTCAGTTATGGACGTTTCTCAGCTTGGCAAGTCTTTGTCTGTACACGGTGGGTCTTGCATGGCTGCTTCGCCCACGAAAAGGGCCGATGGGACTTGCATAGCTGCTTCGCCCACCAAAACAATGCAATTTGCCCGGCGACCAAAGCGTCAAGCCTCGGGCGGCACTCAGTCCGATGCTTCCCTAACTGCGTCAGAGCTGCACACTTCTTTGCAAGTGCCTGAAAAGAACTGAACATGATGAATTCATTGACCGGCCCTTCTTTGGTAAACCGAGCGCCGAGGGTTCTCGGCCTTGCGTGAATCCGTGGTGGACTCTGTGACTGCAACTCTTGGTTGGATTGGCCTCCATGTCATGAAAGTCTGCCGACACTCAAAGACCCCGTCGATGCTGGCCTCCTCATCTCGCGCACCGGAGCTCTCAGTGGACGAGACCGCCTTCGGCGGCAGCGGAGTGGCCGAACGAAACCACGCTCCAGAGATGCCCTGCGTCTGAGCCAAATGAAATGTTCTGTCCACCTCGCTCTGAAATGAACTGCTGAAGATGATGTGGGATGCGGTGATATCATCCCTCTGAGCAATTGCCTTCACCACCTCCTCATGCTGCCATGGCTTTACAAAGACCAGGCATCCACTATCTAACCTCACAGGAAGGTTGCGACGAGCAAGTTCCTCACGGCACTGCTTCAAAGGTTCTCCTGTAAAGAAGAGCTCTCGTAGTTCTTTCGTGTTTCGGTTGACCTGATAGCAAGGAAAATCTGAAGTTGGCCCAACACACGACACACGTTTCTTGGAGTCATGTTTGAACCACAGTGAGTGGCGAGTGATCGATTCTGGACCACACACACACACTTCCCCAGCAAACCGTGCTGGTGTTCAGCTAAGTAATGTCATCCTCATGTGACATGTGGTTAGTGGTTACCTGCAGGTGGATGAATTTTCACTCATACATGAGTCTCTCAGCTTGTTCTACTCTGATGTCTTCATACAAATCACATCAAATCCAAAAGATCCCCTTAGCGCACAGCATCCCACAAATCAAATCCAAGTAACGTGTCCAATCATCTTGATCTCTTCCGCCCCGTATTCCGCAGAAGTGTCCGCTGCAGCACCCAGGTTGCGCTCAATGAAGCCCGCATGCTGCACGTCCACGATCTTTTGCGCTTCTGCAGGCGGAATCACACTGGGGGGATCCACGTGCTCAATTTCCCTCAGGGTCCAAAACGACAGGACCAACGACGCGCTCAATTTCTCACGGCATCCTGACTCTTGAATCAAAGCTCATTTACATGACACTGACAACATTCATTGCTAGTGCCTTCTCATGATGCTGTAAAGACTCATAGACTCATAGACCTCAAACATAAGTTTCAAGTTTGTATGTACCCTGCTACCATTTCTGGGATTCAACTCATCAGGTTTTTTAGGAATTAGATCATGGAATTGTTTTGGTGTCACCATCCTTTTGCGACTCGCTGATATAGCCACAAAACAAAATGCTGTGTCTCTCGCTGCTCAAACGAGGCTCATGGTCACATCCTCCTGCTTTGCGGAAGACTCTCAGTAACGTCCTCCTCTTCACCAGGCCTGCTGATCAGCGGCACCGGCAAAAGCGCACAGCCCTTCGCGGAGAATCGGCCACCCAAAACCACTGCCGTGGAGAGCACTTCAAACAAAGTGAGGAGCTCCCGTCGGACATGCTGGAGTGCCCTGGTCACGCTAAAGGAATCGCCCTTCCTCTGACAATGGACGGTAAGCGGGGAAACATTGAATGGATCCACCACGTGCTGGGCAGCGCAGCCCGATGAACCCCAGGCGTGCGCTTTGAGGACATGAAGAATACACTCCACCCTCAAGGACATTTTCAGGAAGTCGGTTGTTTGCATAGCCGTGAACTTTTCAATTCCTGACAAAGTCGCTTGAACTTTCCGAATCCATTGCGCCTGCCTGGTGTCAAGGACGGGTTTTTCACAATTTTTGATTCGAACCTTGTGGTTGCTAGTGTTTCGCTCTTCCCGAAGAGGGCACCGAGGGTCGTGATAGCCCAGGCGAACACCAACAACATCTCTACAATGTCGGAAAAAGTGGCCATTCCACTGTTCTGCGTCGTCTGTTAAACTCTCTGGAGACAAGATGTCCCATGCCATACACCTTCCACCGCAGACTCTTGCCCTTTCCTGAAACATCTCGTCGCCAGTCTCTCGATACCATACTTGCAACATGCATGTTTTGTGACACATCCGTTCCCCCGTGCACCACAATCGTTTTGAAACCACTATAGGTTGCCCACATGTCGCAGCAGCAGCCGCTTCGAGATCATTTTGGATGCGTTGTACTATAGCAAAAATCTCTACTGTATACTCACGAACGGCATCGGCCATGGCTTCGTTTTCGTGAGCTTGTTGAGCCAAAGGTTTGTGTAAGACTGTTAGACCATCTGCCAGCACATGACTCTGTCAGAGTAGCATTGCAAATATTGCGAAACATCCAGCACAGCATTCTTGAGGCCCTGTGATGATGAATGCATACAGCACTTCTTCAACAAAAAACCTGCCAAGGCATCCAGACCTACCTGAGTTGCCAACCATTTCAAAAGCCAACGCACATCACAGAACCTTGATATTGTTTCCACTGCAAGTCTTCTCGCTCCTGTTTGGGATTTGTTTCAAGCTCATTTGCTGTAAAGATTGTTGATTTCGTCGAACTCAGCAAGGACTCCAAAATTGCAAAATTGGAACCAAAACCGAGTCCGCCAATCCCTTTCCAAGAACCTATTGAACTTGATCCGTGCAGTTTGGTGTGCCACTTGAATAACAAACAAGGTGCCACTGCACCAGTACATAAACGAGAACGTCCGTGAAAACTCAGACCCCCATGACTATTGTTGCATTCTGTGAGGTTCAATTGAACCAAGTCCAGTCAAACAGTATTCTCAGAAGCCAAAAATATGAAAAGTAAGTCTCCAGAGTTTGCCCCGGATGTCCAACATGTGAAATTTTCACAAAGGAACTCCCGAGGGCGCCGAGGGTTGAACAAACCAGATCGAACTTACCACAATGAAATATATATATATATATATTGAAAACACGTGAACGAACGTGCGACCGCCCGGTTTTCGCCTGCGTGGGCGGGGTCTTGAACCTGTACGTTGCGGGTATGTAACCGCCATGGTCACAGCTTTACACCCTGCCTTTTCATGGTCAGGGATTTCACGAAAGTTCCCTTGCCATGAAACCTCTTCAGTGTTCATCTTTTCAGATGCACCTGCACCTACTCGATTTCTGGCTCGGGCTCATCAAGGATCATTGGTTCATCTCGAACTCGATCCTGCAGCTCAAAAGCCGCTGCTGCATCACGCTCTTCAGAGCTGCTGCTTTCGTCTCTCCGTCTCCTTTGTCGTCTTCTTGGTGGCATCCTGAATTCTCTCAGCATTCTTGGTGGTCCCCAATTTGCAGCCATCCACCCATCTGGCCATTCGCTTTCTTCCAAAGGGCAATTCACATCTTCATGCCCTTTCTTCACATGGTAGGTGTACTGCCTCAAGCTTCTGATGTAGTCAGTCACCTCCTTTCTTGTCTCTGCTCCAGTGATCATCAGCATCCTTTGGAGCTCTCTGAACATCTCGTATCCCGTAGGATGTCTTCATCTGCTGGGTCTTCTTCCATCATCTGGCGAAATTGTCTCACCTTCATGATGATGTAAACTTCAATGCCCACATCATTCTCAATCTGCTCAAGCCTGTATGCCTGGTAGGCATCATCTTCCAGGTGCTCATAGTCACCCACCGGCTCGATGTGCCCTTCCAGACTTCCATAGTCTGTCGTCAGGCTATTCTCCGATTCTTCATCTTCATCTCTCTGCCTTCTTTCCTCATCTGTCTCAATTCTCACCATTCTCACACGCACTTCTGTCTCGCGCACGTAGCCCTCATCGTCGATGTAAGAGCTTACTCTCACTTCACCATCCTGTTCTTGTGCTTCTTCTTCCATTTCTTCACCCCAAGGCGGGCCAACCACATCTCTGAAACTTAATCCAGATGTCCTGCCCATCGAACCCACTGTCTTTCTTCAGGTTCTTCGCTTGTCTCATCATTTTCATGTCTGGCCCTGTGCCCTGATGGCCAGTTTGACCAATTCTGCCATTCTGTGTTTCCTTGGTTCTCAGGCCATCTCCTTGGAGCGTTCCACATGCTCAAATCAATCCTCCCTTGCTCTTCTCTGAGGTGTAGGTCTCATCACCTCCGACTGCACTCCTCAGTGCTTGCCATGATGTCACATGTCTCCTCAACTCTCTCTTGCTGTGTTCTTCAAGGTGCTCAAGATCACAATGGCGATTGTCAATCCCACTTGTTCAAGAGTCTCTTTTCCTGTCTCCCTTCTCCCAAGCAATCCCTCTGGCTGCTTCTGCGGCTCATCCTCTGGAAAGCACTGCTGATCTTCTCCCGTCGCCGGGCCCAAGGTTGCATCTGCTAGCAACGCCGTCATCGTGAGCCTCAACAATCTCTTTGCCAGCTGGTTCGCCTGCATGCTCTTCTCTGGTGTCCCTTCTTCTGCAAACACCATCCTTCTCACCTCTTGCAACCTCCTCTTTTGCTCAGCCTTTGCTCTCTCTGCTTCGAACTCTGTCTTGCTGTAAAGCCCATGAAGTACATCAGAAGGTTGATGCGCTTGCCTCCAAGCGTCTTGGTGCCTATATCAGATGGATTTGTAGCCGTATCCAATTTCCGCAAATCTAAATCTTTGCTCTGTCTCTGCTGGGGCCATAATAGTCGGCCACTTAGGTGCTTCAACTTCCCAACACCTTCCTTCTGAGCGATTGCTATGCTCGAACTATTGTCGCCATAGATGACCAACTTCACCTGCTCACCTGTAAGGTGTTCGACTGCAGCTTTCAGCGACAAACCTTCTGAAGCTCCTGACACCAAGGCAACATACTCTGCCTCCGTGCTTGACAACGTGATGTTCTTCTAGGTTCTGGCATAGGAGTGGGTCCAATTGCCTGCCAAGAAAATACATCCTGCTGGCGTCGAGCTTCGAGTCTGCTTGTTTCCTGACCAGTCTGAATCGCAGGTCACTTCCAGCTACCACATGTGCTCAGCTTCTTCAAACATGGGCGCTGTCGTCAAACCTCGTGTCCTGTTCCTGAACTAGTTGCTCTTTGTCTGACTTCTCATCACCAAATGCATGTCCATGGTTGTAGCCAAATAGCCAACCAACTTCTCAAGAGCTTTCCATGCACCGTCTGTTGGACTTTGGAGTCGTCCTGCCAGTTCTTTTACATGAAACTGGATGTCTGGCCTGTCACTGGCCATGTACAGCAATGTTTTAACTGCTGACCTGTACATTGGCTTCCTCCAGTCGTCCTCCTCCATGGTCTTTCCATCCTCAATTCCGGTTCCTGGAGTTCTCGATCTCTTCACGGGACTCATCATCTTCACAAGATTGTGGATGTACTTCTCATTCACCATCATCTTGGTTTCTGAAGCGTCCACCATCAAAGTCCTCTTCAAGAAACTCAACACTTGATCATCCTCCACAGACACTTTATAGCGCTTCATGAGATGGTCAGTGACTCTGGCCACTTCTTTCTCTTCTCCTCCAAGGATCATGTCATCAACATGGACTAGCAAGATCACACCTTGCCCTCTCCACAACGTAGGCGCTTCAGCACATGGCGTAAGCCCTGCCTCAATCAGGCTTCTCCTCAATTCCTGGAACCATTGCGCTGCACGTCCTGGAAGAATTCGGCCAAGAATCCATTCCTGCTGGAGTCCAAGTCGATCTGCCAACGCCTTGTCTAGGCTAACTTTCACCTTTCGTGGCTGCGCACACATCAGGTAGGCGTCCTTGACGTCCATGGTGATCATCTTCCAGCCTTTGACTTGACAAATGGCTGGGACCAGTCTCAGGAGTGAGTGTCCTCCCGCTGGTGCAAAGACGTCTGTCCTGTTCCAGGCAAAATCACGCGCAACCAATCTTGCCCTTCTCTTCCACCTGTTTTCTCGTCACCGCCAATCCATCACCAACTTTGTTGTGAGCAATGGAATGTCTTCTAAGTCATCGTTCTTTCCTGGTGGCAGTAAAACTGTCATGCCAATCAGCCTCTGAATCTCTTCCTTTGTGGCTTCATCTTCAATCTCCGAAAGCTCAACCTCTGGCAACTCTGGAGGTTGATCTGGAAACTCCAAACTCTCATCTCCATCATACAGCAGTTCTCCAGCAACCACCATGCGAATTGTCGAAGCTGATGCTGGTTCCGGTTCATCCTTCTCTGAACTCGTTGGTCTTCAACATCTTCTTCGGTGCAGACCTTGCCACTTTCTTTGGCATCTCATCTTTCACATCTCCTTCTCCACCTGATCTCTTTGGACTATCCATGGGACTTCTTCTTGGACAAACTGGTGCTTTGTCAACTTCGCTCTCAGCCGTAGGTTCCTCCAAGCTATCAAGCAGGTCTTGCAGCAACGTGTCATCTGTAATCAACAGACCTCCTTCGTCCTTGTCTTCATCTGGTTGGAGTGTGATCACTCATGTTTGGATCATCTTCTTTGCTGCTTTCTTCATTTGCCCCTGCCTGTCTCTTCTCTCCTCGTCCTTCTTCACCCCTCAGCCTCGCCTCACCTTCCTTCTTCTTTGCTCTCTCCTCCTTAGCCAACTTCTTCTCTTCTGCTCGAATTCCTGGGGCGAGATCTGGAGGCAATGGGACCGTAGGAAATTTGCCAACCAGCGAAGAAGCTTTGGCGCCAATCTGTCCAAACCCAATGTTCCATGGCCAAAACTTCACATACGTCACGGCCTCAGGGTCAAAAGGAGTTGGTAGCCTTCTGATGGTTCTCGTCCACTTCAAACCTGCACACCGCTGCGCATCCTCAGCTTGGCCGCCTCAGCAGACCACCTCTTGCAGATGGCAACTATGCCGCTCGAACATAAAACCACTGCACTAGGGATTCCCTACTCGTGTCCAGTTTCCCATCATTTCGATGGTGCTGAGGCCCTCCAGCAAAGCCTGTTCTCATTGTTCGCACTGCTGATAACGGGCGATGCCCCAAGGTATTGTCCGTCAGCCACTGCTATAGGCACGAAGCTGTGCATGGCAGCCCGCACTGACAGTGCCCACATCATGTCTGTGGCACTCTCCTTGGCAGCTGCCCTTCAAACAGGGCGATCTACGTTGGCCGTTGCAGGGGTCTTTGGTGCGGGGAAGACACGCTCCCTTACTCCCTTCTGGTTTGGCTGGCTTTGACAACCAACCTCAAGATCGGAGTAGTCCATAAAGAAAACCCTGCCGGTCGAGCCATCACCAAGCTACTAGCTTTGCTAGCATTGGATGATGAACAAGCCAAACTCTTTGTAAGGGCAGTAGGGCGAGAGGAAAACGCGGCCAATGCAGCACCAGGTATGAC